GTAATCATAGGGATAAAAGTTTGAGCCAGAAATAAAAGTCAAGATGTTAACTATTTCTCTTTTGTGTCTTGACAGAAACTCCACTGACACTCTGAATGTGAGAATTTTCTATTTATTTTAGATAGTATATTCTTGTTATCTAAAATGTGCTACAGTCTAGTCTAATATGTCTGTCTAGCTTGCCAAGTTTTCAGAACAAACTTTATGAAGTCATTCCAGAGGAAGCCTCCTCTTGCTACCACTCCTCAGTGGCATTCCTCAAATTCATTCCAGGCTTTGATACAATTGTACTAAGTTATACTAATTGGTACATTGTATTCCACATGTTTGGAGATAGTTATGTTGGAAGATAAAAGTGTATATTTGCATAAATGAATATGCATAAGATGCAAATAGCACACAAATATGTCCCTGTGATTTATTGGGTGAAGACTTACTTCTCAGTGCACCCAAAAATATCTTCAAACTTTGACCAAAGAATGAATTACTCAATTCTATTTTACTGGAATTTACATGTATAAAAACCTTTCTTATACTAAAGAAAATGGTCAATATATAATTCTGGCTGCTATATGTAAAAACTGAAATATCTAGACTTCCTTTTACTTTGATCTGTTGACTCTATATTTTTTCTGGTTAATTATTATCTTACTTTATTAATGTCTGCTTTGTTCCTGAAAAGATGGTAAGTTATTAAATGTTTTAATATCCCTGAGCCTCAATTTTCTTATCTGTAAACAATAATGAAACTAGTGCTTCTTCTTTTGGGGTGAAAGCACTATATAAATGTCAGGTTATCTTTATTGAACCTACCTGGAAAGGTAAATAGGTAAATAAAAAATACTGATGTGTCAGAAGTAAGAACATCAACATACTATTTATATTTCTGTGGGAGGGGGTTTGTGATTATGGAGCAAACTTATTATCCTTTCCCATCTGCCTAGTAGAATGATTCACTTGGAGAAAACTAATCTTTTCAATAGAAATTATTTAAATCACTATTTTTGGAGAGTTTTCTATAGACCAGGTATTGTTTTTGATGTCAGGAATACATTATTATGCAGAAGAAATGAAATTTCCTTACTGAATAGAGCTTATACTAAAGAGTACATAGATAGATATATATAGATAGATAGAGAGCTGTGTATGTAGGTATGCATACACACAGAACACAAATACACACACACATCTCCAAAGCAAATATATATACACATATATGCATCCACCTGTATATACTCATACAGAGAGAGATAAGAGACAGTTTGTTTTCAATTGCTTACAAAAAACAAACACCATATTAAGACCTGTATCTACATCGTTTCATTTAATCCTGGCCAAAACCCTGTTAACTATATATAGCCTGAATTTCAGAAATGAACACTGAGACTCAGAGAAAGGTATCAGATCCTAGTAAATTACAGAACAAATAAGTCTACTGTAAGGATCACAATTTCAAACAGCTACTCTAAACTGGAAGAATACATAAAAGTAAGCTAGAGAAGAGGCTCTGTCCCAAGATTAGGGAACCCTAGAACACTTTCAGAAATAGCATTCACTTTGAAAAACTACCTCCTCCAAGATTTCCAGTATCAATAACTATTCTTCTATATTTTTTATTAGTCTTTAATACTTTCCAAATTTTTAGGAGTCTAGACTATTTGATTTCAAGAGAGTCAGTTTTGCTGAATGGCTAGAGTTTGGTCTTTCTGTTCTAAAATTGACTTTCAGGTCTCGTTTTCTTAAATTTAATAACACCCAAGGGCTTTCTGGAATTCATTCATCCTTAATTTTTTTAATTTACAGTAAAAATTTCAGGACTCGTATCCTTTAGGTCACTTTAGGTATAGAATGGAACTGAAAAACCCACCAAACTTGTCTAACTCTAAATTCAGTAGTCTACTTGGGTTTAGATATAAAATTGTCTATATATTTTTTTCTTTTGTGTTGTGTAAGAATGTGTTTTTGTGTACATTAATCTCTTAAGATCTGGTTGTGATAATTATCATAATTTTAGTTTTTCAAGATAAGAAATGCATTTACTTATATATATATAAGCATGTGTATACACACAAACATATATGTAAAGTATTATGAGCTTATTTCTTCAATCAATTAGCTCATAGTGGACTATATAAAATATATCAGTTATAGCAATCATTTCACTAAATTACTGTTCAATTAAACTGAGTAAGAATCTACATTAAAGTGCTATGTTACAAGTACAAAATACCAGCAATACAAAACATATGGCAATATGATGTTATTTGTTATATATACTTTATATATATTTATATTTTCATATATATGTAAAATGTGGCAGATGAATTTGTGAATGGTTAAATGAAGTAAACATTTATAACTTTCAGGAAATAAAATCACACAAATTGACTTATAATATCACTGCATCTACTAGAACTGATGAAAATTTATTATTTTCATCTAGAAATCCATTTGGGAAAAGGACAAATTTTCTCAAATTATAATCTACTAAACCACTGCAATTATATAGGGACAATCAATATGGATTAATAACAATGAAGAGAAGAAATGCTGTAGAACTGGTATGATCTATCCTTCAGGGAGGGAATCTTTATGTTTCCAGGGGCTGTGCTGCTCTGGTAAGGTAGCCCACGATGCCCAACTTTGGACTTTGACAAGTTAAAGTTTATTCAGGAGACTTAAGCTAATTGCCTTTGGTAAATCATTTCAGTAAAATCAACAGGTAGTACTCAAAGTATGACTCATAAAGGACCATTTTCACACTTTCCAAATATCCTTATATCTGCAACATACACATCATCACACTTATATTAGATACCATTGATACAAGTGTGATGCTGATTATTCCAAACCAAGACAAAATTTAAGTCTTGACCTGATGTCCAAATAAAACTCATCTCTTACATTAACTGTTGATTCAAATGTGAATTTAATTGACAACACGTATGGAAAGTGACCAAAGGTATATCAAAAATATAATTTGAGAAGAAGCAAAAGACAAAATTAATTTTGTAAAATCATTTAAAACCTATGTTGGCTGCCGTATTTCCACTTATGACTATGCTGAAATCTGTTCTGAATTGTTTTAACTTATAAAACAGCTCCCTAATCCCCCCCCATTTCACTATACCCTGTTTTTCTTCATTAAGATAAAGTTGGTTAACAAAGCCCTCTTTCCTACCTAATCTATTCTTCTGTTTCTGATACTGTAAAAGCTTCTCAGGCCCCCTTTCCAGTTGGTAGAGTTTCTACAGGACCTACATCAAAATTTCCTGCTTCCATTCCATGTTGGAAGACTATTCTACATGGTTCACCTGTGTTTCTGCAAGGATCGTTAAATACAGCCACTGACAAATTTTGTTACTGACTGGCTTTACAAAGGTGGTTGTATAATGAAGAGTCTTGGAGGACAGAAGTAGTCCTCCAAGATCTGCAAAGGGCAGATCTGTTTACAGTCCAATATATATATATATATATATATATATATAAAGTTCTCTCTGTGTAGCAAAAGGCTGCCATTGTAGAATAAATAAGTCCAGTTTCCTAAATTTAGGGAGCCTCAGCTGTGACATAAACTGACACTGTGTGTAGTGTCATCTAGCCCTCATTATATCACCCTATAGTGAATGGTGCTTGGAGAACTGATGCAAGAAAATGACAATATTCTGGCTACTGCTGTTGCTATGAGTAATGAGCTGCCCTTTGTCTCTTTCTTTCACCAGCATACAAGAAACTGTGGCAGATTCTTCACAGTTCTTGACATTTGTTTCCCTCATTTCATCCTTCTGCTTCATATATGGATTCTCTACCCTTTAGATAATGACTAAATTTGTTGGTTGGTGAGTCTTTCTGTTCAGTTTCTTGCCAAATTCCTGCCTCCTTAATTGACCTTACTCAATCTAAGGTCCCCAACTGTCCAGAAAAAAATGACAATTTGATTAAAAAGTGACAATGAATTAAAGGCAGAATTAAAGAGAAGGATACCAAAGGAACCCTGACAAGAAAGGAAAATGGAGTATGGGTCCATGAAAATATATACAATGGCTGGGATTTCAGTTAGATCCTCATTAGAGAAACTGGTTTTAGAGATCTGTTGGGCTGAGTTTTTTCAAGAGTAAGCTGCATTGGTTGCTGGGTGCTCTGCTTACTTGTTGTTTGACTTCACCTTTTAATTTTCTTGTATTCACTGCTAAAATTTATACTTCCATACAGGACCTGTTCTCACCTGCATTTGTAAACCTCCAACAGCAAAATCAATTTACACAGATAAATATGGCAGGTGATGATATGATCAAAAATTTTACTTGCTCATTACATCTTCCAAAAATTCCAGAGGGATGAAATAGTATCCCTTTGCAGCATAAGTCCTGGAGTCAAGGAGAACATACTAGATATACAGACAGTATAGATTCCCTAGTCAAACATCAGCAAATATTTTGAGTCAATAGGCTGATATGGGCCTAGAAGTCTTCCAATGTTTAGACAGTTTCTTGAGTGTATTCTAATTTACTAATAATGATTGATGTTCAGGGGGGAATTCTGTCTTCATTTTCTTATACCTTTCAAATTAAATAAAATCAAGTACACAAGAATAGGAAAATGAAAGTAACAGTTTTTTTTTTTTTTTGAGTGCACAACAGCAAACTTCATTTCCATTAGGTTTGATGGGTATCAGAATACACTTCAATGAAACCCATGGGAGTGAAGGCAACACTGTGTCTAGAGTGCTTTAGAGATGAGGATGCAACAATTTAAAATGCCAGGATGATACTGGAAAATTTTTGTCTTGTTTCCATCAAACCAAATTGTTGTAGGGATTATTTAGAAAATCAGTATTATGTAAAGCAGTTTGCTCAACATTCCCATATGTACTCTTTTCCAATAGGTAGTCTTTATCAATAGACTAACTCTTAGAAACACTTATACAAATCATATATATTACTTTTCAGATGTTTTATCTTTTCTCTGAAGAGATGTTGATAAAAAGTAATAGGACTTACAGTTTACGACAATTTTCACTTTTTTCACATCTGGGAATGACACATCATTTTCTGCACTGCATTCATATTCTCCAGCCTGGTCCCTTGTAATTCCATAAATGTCCAAATACTGTCCATTTTCAAATGGCTTTGCTGCAAGAAACAAAACATAGATAAATGTAGTTGATTGTTAATTGTACTTGCTTGAGACGTCTTTCAAATAAAACAATTGCATATCTCTCTTAGATGCTGCTGACAGAACAATTCCAAATGAAATTGAGGAATTATAAAACACTTTGTTATCCTAAGTTCAGAGAAAGAATAAAAAATGCAAAAATGAACAAGGGATACTGTAACAACTGTACAGAACAGAACAGGATATACATATGTTCTTTTTAATTTATTGTGGTCTCCTAACCTCCTCACACATCAAATAGAACTCTGCACATTTCTTTAATTGAGTTCAACAACCTTCTAGCAGTGTAGATGAAATTCACTAATATGACTTGGTACATATTGACTTTTATACAGTGTAAGCTAGAAACCTGACACTTAACCTAACCAAATGTTACTTTTCTTTTGGGGAAATCTCACACTCATTCTGAGGTTTCAAGCAAATTGGTTTGACGAGAGCATAGACAGAGATTAAAATATCACCATATTTCAGTTCCCAAAATTAACAATGTTTCTATGGCAGGTACACAGTATATACTATATATAAAATTATATAAATATACATATATATATTTATATATATATATAAAATTCAGTAATCTTCAGAAAAATACTTATGACTCTTAACTAGGAGCTGACTATTTCAGGGAAAACATTCTATTTGACTAAAATAGCAGATTATAAGAATAAATATAAATACATAATCACAGATGAATGAATGAATAGCCTCGAATGAATGAGGATACTCAAATTCTCCTTTCAGAAATAACGGAATATTTGTTTTTTGAAAGCAGAGAATTATCAGTCAGAAACGAGCCTGAGTCACAAATAAGGCAAGAATGGGCCTACGTGAATTTCAAGAGGGGAAATTGTTCTCTTTCTTTGCACTGTTTTGAAAAATCACATTTCAATGCATACCAAAAAGATTTGGGAAATGAAACAAAGATCTGTTTTAAAAAGTCAAACTTACTTTGTTTCACTATTTTCTTGCCAAAATAGTTTCAATGATGTTCACATTAGAAACTAGTAAGATCCAATTTTATGAGATTAAAACAAAATGAAGTTTAGTTTTGGTACTCTAAAACTAAAATCTATACAAATTAATTTTCCTCCCCAGTGGGCTCCCTTATCTTGGTCTGTATCAGTTGCTTTCCAGGTAAATATTGAAACCTGGAGTGGTTAGAATATATAAGATTAAGTTATTTCTATATTTATCTGGTTAATCTTAAAATGCATATAGGGGAGAGGTGAATTCTGCGAAGATAATTGGTGTATATATTATTTCTGGTTTACAAAGCTAAATTTACAAAACAATGGCTGCCTTCAAAGTTCATATTCTTAAAATCTAATTTTATGATTATTCTCTTGCTTCAATCTACTGCCCTTTTCTAACACCAGTAATACTGATTTTCTGTTGGTACCTTATTTCTTACTTCCATTCTTACAATGAAGATAGTCTAGAATCTGTAAAACTTAAAATAGTGGAATATGAAATAATTGTTCATGCCAAAGACTTTAAAAATACAAATTAAATTATAAAGTAAAGGCATAGTAAGTAAAAATTAAAATATGAGGAAATTGATATACAACATCAGAATTAAATAACCTAATCCATGTGTAAAAAAGGAAGCTAACTACAAAGAAAGCAGTATACAAGTGTGAAACTTTTTACAAATAGTTGTACTATTGTCTGACTTATATTCGATATTAAAAGTTACTTGTGTATCCCTATTTTTTGTGTAATGATACAATTTTAAGAATAGTACTCCCCAAATGTACACTTTTGCAAATAATATATGTATATATTATACAGTATAACCTACTTAAAAATCAACTATTATCTAATTCTTAAATAAATAAATTAATCATGGTGTGTATAAGTGTATGTGTTGTTTTTCCTGTGTAAGCATTTCAGAAATGTGAGCAATCACTTTTTATGTATTGAGTTTTTAAGAAACACTGTATGACTACCAGTAACAAAATAGTATAACAGAAAGAAAAACAATTTAGTTTGAGAAATTAAAATAGAAGAAAGCTCTTTATTTTGCTTTCTGAAATGACTAACTGGCAATGCTAAAAAACTGACAGCAAGTATAAGAAGCTGTAAGATAAAATATAAACAATATTAGGGACATTATCATTCAGATTAAGAGAACACCATTTACATATATGGAATATTTGTCCCTGAAGTTTCCTGCAAATTCTACGTAACTGTATTTAAGACTCTTTCTCCAATCCCATGTCTGTACCTACAAGTACCAGAACTTTAAGAAGAGCTGCAGTCAGTTAATAGGTTATTTTACTAATCTTATCAATAGCATCAACGTAACAATAATATTCAGACATTTAATATCTACAAAGCATAAATAAAGAATAAACATCTTAGTTTTCCCTACCAGATTCCAGGTATTCTAAAACACCCTGTTACTTCCATTCACTATGTATTAGCTATTCTAGAAGTTTTCCTGTAAGTATTAGATTTATACAAAGAGCAGTTTCATCCTGAAGTTATCCTTCCCCCAATCTAACATGATCTAACCAGACTTAACTTTTTTTTTTTTGAGGTAATGTTTGTTTATAAACTACATATTATGCAGAAGTACAGGTCTACATCATCTTCACCAACAAAAAACCCATAATCCTCCACCATGGACCTGGGGCTCTATCTTCCTTTTACTTCCCACTTTCACCACTCCTTTAGTAGCTTCAGTTCTACCAAACAATTTCCAGGGTTTATTCTCTCTGTTCCTTGTTTTCTGTATATTCCACATACACATGATATCATCAGGTGTTCTTCTCCTTCTGACTAATTTCACTTCATAATTCCCTCCAGTTCAACCAATGTTGTTACCAATGGTAAGATTTCATTTTTCTTTTAATGCTGAGCAATATTACAATGTGTGTGTGTGTGTGTGTGTGTATAGATATATTGCATATGATACAGTAATTTTACTTTTAGCTGTCTTATCGGAAGAATAAAAAAAACACTAATTGGAAGAAATAAACTGCTATGTTCATTACAATACTATTTATAATAGCCGAGTTACAGAAATAAACTACATAGCCAACAAGGTGAGAAAATTAAGATGTGGTGTACATAAGAAATTAATTCCAGATCTGAAATCTGGAATTGCTTTGCCCAAGATATATGTCCTGTAGGGTTGTGTGCAATATTCTTGGCTGTGTTTGGTTTGTTTTGCCCTCCATTTTCCTTAGTAGTAATTCTTGTCTGATTTTGGACCTAAGGACACAAATTTTGTCTTTAGACACTCAGCTGATTCTACCTTTTTCCCCATTGCTCCTCCTCACAAGGAAAGAGAATATGGGCAATACTACACTAAAATACAAAGCATATTTTAGCTTACACAGTGTAACTCAGAAGGAGATAAACGAGGTTGAAAGGGCCCAGGAAGGTAAATACACAAGGACTATTACCAAAGCTAAGACTTTATAATGTTTCTGAGGATGTATTCACTCTCTAGGGTACTCCTAATACATGTAAATTAATTATAAAAATAGTGTATTTTTATATCTTCAGTAAACCAATGTAAAGGCTAATGAGGCACAGACACACTGGGATATGCAACTCTCTTCTGGGCACAGGATTACTATTTCACATGAGCACAGGAACAGTTCCTGCTTTGTTCATCTGAGTCCCTCATGCTAACATAGCACCTGAAACATCATATGCCCAACAAATACATACTCAATGAAACACTGATTAATGAATTAATAAAATACTGTAAGAAAAAGATACAGAGAAGCTCAAATAAAGGCTTACATTCAAAAAAGTTGCCACTTCTTTTTCAGAGTCATGAAAGGAAATAACTTTAAAAAGAATTATTATGTGTCCAGTACACTAAAGTAATAGGTGATGGCTGTGGTGAGAACATAATTACATAGATCCTTTCTAATATTATAAGACTAACAAACACCTTAAATACAAGGGGAAAAAAAGGTTAAGTACTGTCTATAATCTAAACAATCATCTTTAGTGTTGTCTCTCTGAAACCTATACTTATAAAATGAATAAAAAAATGAGAATGAAACTTCTAAATTCAAGCCTTTAATATTTTTATTTTTGAATCATGTGGTTTTATTATCTGTCCAAACAATAAAAAATAAAAATAGAATTCTTCTTTCCTCAATGCCTACCATAGAAGTGTTCTCCCCACCCTCCCTGCAAGATAATCCCAAACATGGAGCACTAAAGAAATTCCACAATTTTTCAATGATGTCACTATTATCACCATCTTCAAAGAAAAATCTGGAAAATACAAGGTAGTTATGTTTTATATAACTCTTAGATAGTGATTTTTGATATAACTGACTAGAAAGAATCCTATATTGGCCATAAAAAGATAATCTAGTTTGACCTTAGGATTTGTTAATGCATGCAGACATAATTTATGTTACATATAAAATTTGCCAGCAACAGCTTCAAATTTCCATAGGATATTAATGTGTTCATTAAAACTATTTGGGAAAAAAATCTCCCTTTTTAGTTTGTAGGCTATCATCCTTTCACTCATTTTCCTCTTTGGCCATTTCTTTCAAATTTTATAAAACCTTTTACATCTTCACATTTCCCCAATATTGTTTCTGTCTTATGACTACTTTTTGTGCCTTATTTATTAGTACATTCTTTAATTGGATTTTGTTTATTAATTAGCATTTCATTACTATCTATATAAGTTCTATTTAGACTATACCTATACTCTGAATCTCAGACACATGTATTCAAGTGGACATTTCACCTGCATGTCTCACAGGTATCTCAAAGACAACACACCAAAAACTGTTCATCTGTTATTTTCTTGCCATATTTGCAACCTCCTGACAATTCTCAGTGAGTTTTTTGATAATAAGAGTTGTTAAAGGAAGAAAACTTAGAACTCACCTACACAAGACCTTTTTATCATAGTCCATACTTGCATCTTTTACAATGTCCTATCAATTTTACCTCCTAAGTGACTACA